CTAAAGCAACTAAACCAAACTTGGTGAACGCAAAAAGTAATGCATGAGAATGTGATCCGTGGAGTCCTTGTCTTAGCTAGAGAAGAAACAACAGGAGGTCTCATCTTGGAAGCCCCTTCGAGCATGGTGATTAGATGTCCATGTCATGTAATGGAGGGCCAACCAGACAAAGTTTTTGCAGTTGATAGGCCCGCAACTCTGCAATGTTGCTTTGGTTGACTGAAACCTGGTGGAGCCTTCACAAAGTAGACAATAAACTCATGAAGCAGAATAATCGTGTGAGAAATTCTCCAAAATGTGGTGTGTAAGGTGTCTTTTTGAACCTAAACACTATGGACCGCATCCTAGACATGCACGAACTACTAAATTAGACCCCGCACAAGTAATTTACCAGCGATGTTAACACCATTGCTCGCCAATAAAACCATCATAAAAAATCATGTTTTGATTGTCTGGGTTTTGGCTTTGTTAAATACCAAGGCGTAGTTTCATGGGAGCATCAACCATCAACCCTTTGGACTGCCAAAGAAAATTTCTTGCGCCGTCTCCAACCTGTAAGTGAACCAAACTATTGAAAATCTCTGTGTTTTGAGCATCAACCTTACCATGGCTTTGATGGGTCAGTACGACTAAGCAACGCCCATTTGAAGAGAAGAGTCGGGCTTTGCTTATGGATATCTAGAACACCTAAAATGTCGAAGCACTTTCGCTTACAAAATTATGCCATGCAGCCAAGTACAAGGAAAATTTCAACCATGCCAAGAGGTCCAGGTTTAATTTTAGACAATAGGAAGTGGTCAAGTCATTAGAAAAACATGAATCATGCCAAGGGAGGCAGGGACCAATGTTTAACCAGACGGTCGTGGATATTCAAGGTCCAATCGGATCTCTAGCAACATAAACAAGTGTTGATCGTTGAGCTAAAATGGAAAAAGAAGAAGTGACGATGGGATTCCAACCAGCGTGGCACATCATTAATTGCAGGGCGAGATGAAGAAGGCCAAGGAAGCATTGATCGACACATTGTCACGGGAAGAAGACTAGGTGAGCGAGGTGGTGGTGCAACAAGGCGAGCCGATGTTCGACATGGTGTTGTGGCGCGTGAGACCGGGGAGACGAGGCAGACTATAGTTTGGGGACCCATGATATTCTAGAGAGAAAAGAAGCGTCATGGGGCGACTAACTTTATTTCTCTTAGAAACACGTTACAAACATATATGCTTACATACACGCACGAAATGCTCACTCCTATGAACACACTCGCACACCCTACTCCATGAGCACTTTTAAGAAATTGTGCCGGCATATTTTAAGATTGACAAAATCATCACAAAAACCTTGTGGTTGACAAAAACGTTGTCTCCACTAAAGGGGCGTCACTAAAGAATCTTGCAACTTCGGTGGTTTGGGTCTACCACAAAAAATGTAGTCATCTGAGCTACACTCCGTTCACTTAAGCAAACTCGAACTCTATTCTACTATGGATACACAATTTCTTTCCCAAGCATTTAACCTAAATCTAGACCAATCCAATTTGATCTAGTCAATATTCACGAAGATGCATGGCACGATCGGCGAGGTAGGTGATCATCGGCCCACCGGATTCCAAACCACCTCACAACCAAGTATAACAGGGTGACATAGATAGGATATAAGAGATGTCACAACATACTTTGTTTAGTTTGAGAAGAGAAAAGAGAAGGTGGTTGTAGCACGGACTTCAAGACCCTTTGTGAGAGAATAAGGTGTGCCATATATTTTTGTCATAGTAGGACATGAATTTTCTGCTCGCGAGCTCATATGCTCTCCTATGAACAATAAAAACAAAAAATAGTCATGCAAAGTTTCATAAATAAAAACAATCCAAAAATGCTTTTGTAAAAAAGACAAAATCGATGCTCCAAAAAGTCTGCATTTTGAAGCATCGTTTTTTTTGCGGAAGCATTTTAG